ACCGTAGGCAGAGAGGGAGAAGAGGACAACAAACGAGGGGCTGTGACAAACTGTTTCGTATATATATATAGATATAGATATAGATATATATACATATACATATATGTCCACCTCAGCGTTGCACTACAAGGAGTCATTGAAACTCTCTGTGAGAAGAATAATGTGTTGTATCAGCAAAGCGGTGCGAGACGGTGCTGGATCGTGCAAAGCGCTGAGGAGGTGATGCTTGATCTCAAACGTAATTCCTCTTCTCTTCGTGACCATGCTCCTCGCACTGTTGATTTCACAACTATGTATACCAATCTTCCTCATGATCGTATTTGTTATAATGTATCAAAAGCGATTGAGGAAGCCTATACATATGCCTTACAGCAACACACACAGGGGCGCACACATCCCTTTACACTTGACATGATTGCTAAAGGGCCCCGTCAAGGGGAGTGGACGGTTGATATCGGACCAAACACCTTGACCGTTTCCCAAATTCTTGAACATCTCCATTTCATTGTCACAAACACGTATCTTTATGCAGCGGACGACACCTTGTGACATCAGCTGATTGGCATCCCGATGGGGACTAATTCTGGTCCGGAGATAGTTAATTTAACGTTGGATTGGGATGAGGCTCGATTTGTTGATGACCTCCAGGCTCCAGTGGCGTGATCTTCACGCAGCTCAACGGTATGCATTCACATACCGCTTGATCGATGATGTTCGCTCATGGGGTCATCTGCCACCACCGTCAAAGCATTGTGGCCTCGAATGGAAGGAGACCACAACGCTTAATGGCTCTTGCAAATTCTTGGGTGCACGCCTCCAAGTCCGCCCTGACGGTTCCCTGCGTATGAGTGCCTTTAACAACGCAGCTAAATGAAATTTCCTTGTTATTCGTTATCTTAGTGCTACGTCTAACGTCCCTGCACACCAGCCGGTGGGAGTGTTTACAGGCCAGCTTACTAGGTTTGAGTATGTTTGCAACAACAGGTATGATTTCAAAACTGCAGCAGCGATGCTCACACGCCGCATGCTTTTTCGCAGGCACTATCCAACAACGTTTGTGAAAGGATGAACTTCCTATATTCGTAAACGTCAACACATGTATCTTGTGCAAGTGACCCACCTCTCCAGCTGGTTCCGCAGCATGCTTCGATGGTTTATTCATCACCCGCTTTCTCGAGTACTCACACACTGTCCTCGGAGGGGCACACCTTTGTGCCTATGTTCTACATGCTCCTGGCCACTACACCGCTCTCGTCCGTGCCTCTGGTTCTTGGGAATTATGGAATGGCGGTGCTATGGTGCAAACTATTACTGCCATCTGTGATCTCGTGCGTAATTACCCTAACCTACAATTGTTCCAGCTCATTGACCCTATGGGTACCTCGTATACTTTCATGCTCGTCTCTACGCCTATCTCTGTGTCTGCATTCGTACCTGTCTCTGTGCCTGTTTCTGTGTCTGTCTCTCTCCAGATTACCGACTCTATGGGTACCACGTGTACTTTCATCCCCGACTCTGCACCTGTCTTTGTGCCTACCTCCACACCTGTCTTCATGCCCGTTTCTGTGTCTGTCTCCGTGCCTACCTCCATGTCTGTCACTGTGCCTGCTGTAGTCTTTATTCCCCCACATGCTGCACTAACACCTTGTGACCTCCTTCTTTGTGAGATCACTGACACAGTTACACACGGTTGTGGAAAGCATCGACTTTGTCGACATCACTACAACCGTATAATTTTCCGGGCCCGCTATCGGCAGGGATGCCACCTGTATCCGGATTGTGAACATCCTCTACATCCAGATGCAGTATGTCCCATCTGTGCCTGCGGGCGCTATAGCGAATGTGCACTTAATTGTGATGGTGAACGCCCCACAATCATCATGGCCTGCAACCGGCATGCCCTCTGTCGTGCATGCTTCAGAGGTATGGTTAATGCTAGCCGCCCTGGCTCCTGCTGTGGCGAAGCTGCTTACCTGAATGGTTTTCGTCCTGTAGATCATCGGGAGGGCTGCTACCATCGCCCGCATCCTTATGACAGTTGTCCTATCTGTCGTGAGGGTCTTACTGAGACGTACCTTGCACCCTGACAAAAATGTGCAGCTGCGCTGAAAAGAGTGTACAAGAATGTGCAAAGGTGGGGAACCCTTCACTCAAACTGCAAAACTGTGAAGAACGCAGTAAAAGAAGAACATAAGTCTGTGTCATTTTACTTTGTTTGTACCCTGCACCCTAACACCCTCAAAAGAAAAGTCCGAAGGGTAAAAATGAGGATGAAAAATGAAGAAGGAAGTGCGGGTGCTCTGAAAAGCGAACGTGGTAGACTCTTCACAAAAACTGCAAAACTGTGAAAGAAAGAAGAATGCAGTAAAAGAAGAATGCAGTAAAAGAAAGATGTTTTTGTCAACATTTTTAATTTTTTCTCTCTCTGCCTATTGGTTTTCCTTTGTTGCTCCGCTCTTCCTTGTGTTTAACACCTCTTCCTTCACTCTGCCTCTTTCCCATAGCGTGCAAGTGGGCTGTTATGGCATACGAGGATGGGGGCAGCTTGCGCTCAACTTCATCAACGTGGCGAGCCTTGTACGTTGCACCTTTTCTCATTGTTTTCGCATTAACAGAGGCACATTGGAGGAGGCGTTAAGAAGACTGAGAAACTGAATGATTTCAATGTGTCTTTGTTTTTTATTTTTATCCTTTGATTCAGTGTATTTTTTTTTGTAAAACACTGAAAGAAATAATAATACTGTGAAACAAGGAATAAGAGGACACTGTTTTGTATCATTCTGGTTTGTCTGTCTCTTTGCCTGTCTGTCCTTTCATTTTTCTTTTCTTCGCTCATCTTATTTCTTCTTCTACTTCACGTGCTTACGCTCTTAGTCAATAGTTCTGTGACAATATCGTCACAAACAGAACTGCCCGGTAAACCGTAGGCAGAGAGAGAGAAGAGGACAACAAACGAGGGGCTGTGACAAACTGTTTCGTCGGAGTTTCACCGACTCAT